TTTTACAACAGAAAGCGCTGAAACTAATTGGTTGCTTTGTTGGATATAAAGGATATAATCAATCGTATCTATTTATATCAGATATAATAGCTTATAATAATAGCTATAATGGATATTTTGAATAACCCATAAAAAACCCCCAAAATCGTTATTTATAAAAAAAAAAAAAAATAAATAAATACATACTGCGTTAGTTTTATTGAAGTTTACGAAAAAAGTTTTTTTTAGTTTTTTAGCGAAAAAGAACAAAAAATATAAAAGGATAAGGGGGGATTATTTTTTTTTTTAAGAAAAAAAGAAAAAAAAGAAAAATAAAAAAATATTTTGAAAAAAATATTTTGATAATAAAAAGAAAATAGAAGAAAGGTTTTTTTTTTCGAATGATAAAAATGATAAATTTAAATTTTTTTTTTTAATTTTAGTAAAGAAAAAAAAAACGCCCTTTTTTATTTAAGCAAAACATTTGGTTATAAATGTAAATTTTTTATAAAAAAGAGGCGCAATAAATTCGAATTAAAAAGTATTAACATGAGATTGTGTAATGATTAAACATTAGAGGGTCTTACCGTAATATGATAAATAAGGAGATGAGCTACAAATGACAGTTCACTAAAGTTTCGTTCTGAAAAATATTGAATTTCACATGTCAGATTGTTGAATTTACTATTTAATTAGTTTTATATATTCAAAAATCATTTGATCTTTTAAAAACAAATATTTTTGTTATTGATATTTGAATATTTTGGTAAATTTTTTGGTGGTTGATTTCTTTATCTATGTTATCTAAGCTACAATATGTCAAACAAGTCAAACAAGAATAAAAGAATTTTCTTTTTCAACACTTTACCGTTAAACAAAATTGTTCTACTGCGGAATATGTGTAATAAATAGATCACCCCCTTATATATAAACATATATATAAACATATATATAAACTTATATATAAACTTATAAATAAAACCCTTGCTTTTTTTCATTCAGCCATAATTTTTTTTTGCCATACTTACTAATTATTTAAAATATCCGGGAAAAATATTACTTATTGTTATTATTATATCAAAGGAATGGTCTTAAAATTTTTTTTTTTTTTTTTTTTCGGGGGGAAGAGAATTTCTTTAAATTTCTTAAAATAACCTTATATGACTTAATATGATGATGATTATTAATTGATTATCAATAAATAATGAAATTCAAATAATTCAAATTTGTCGATAAATTCTTATTGTTTTAGAAAAAAAAGGGGGTTATCATAAATCTTAGAGGGAAAAAAAAAGTAATAAAGTTTTTTTTTAAAAAAAAAAGGTATTTAAACCAAAATCGTTTAAAATAACAATATAATATTGTTATTTCTTTTTATTTTTTTTTCTCAAAAGAAGAAAATAATAATAATAAATAAATTAATTAATCAAAAATGATAATTCTTTTTTTGATTAAAAAAGAATTCGTTAACAATGTTAAAATCCAAAAAGTCTAACAAATAATTCTACGTTAAGGAAACCGAAAGGAGATGAATATATTGAATATATTGAATATATTGGATATATTGGATATTGATTGGTATTGGACTATTTGGTATTGGATTATTTAGTATTGGGAGTTCGGGACTAAAGTTGGGTATTGGTATTGAACTATTATATATATATTTCAGTTGTTGATATATAATAGAACTCTTTTTTTCAATATTATTTGAACGAAATAATAAAATTTTTTCTTCTAAGGAGATAAAAAAATAACAATTTTTTTTT